AAAATTCGAAACGTATGTATTTTCATAATATTTTATTAAAATTACAATTATACAATATAGGTACTCATAATCAATCAATAACAAATATATGAAGAGTCATTTACAAAGTTAAAAGAATAAAGTCATATTCAATATTCATAATAATATTATATTAGTATTAATTTAATATCAAGCTAAATAATAGTACTACTAAATACATGTCACTTATTAAAATAATTAACATTTAAAATTATTATTAACTAACTGTATGATACATAAATTACCACATTTCAATATTGTTAAATTAATTTTGTTCACATAGTCAATATCTAAAAGAAAGTGAAATTTCAACTCATCATAATATCTTTATGGTATCAATACCGAACAATTAAGGAGACAGAGGGGTATGGACCTCGGGGTAGTATGTTTATTATAATGTATAAAAAATGGGTATATTATAATTATTTAGCCCTGAACCCAAAATTATCTTAATCCAGGCTTATATAAATATTATAAAAGATATGTTATAGTAAATAATATTATCAATACATTTTTGATAAAATAATTTATGATTTAGMMAAAAACAATAAAATGATAATCTTGAATAATACTCAATTGTTTAATAGTTAGTAGATTTTAAACATTTATATCATCATTTTATAACTATAATAATTATTTATTTTTCTTAAGTTAAAATTATCTCTTGCACATAATATCGATTAGATTTCTTATCCTAACTTATATAAAACGATTAAATGTTTATAATAGTTTAATTTATATTTTTTAGGTGTACTGCTTAATGAAATAAYTAATAACATGAAACAAAAACGGAATGGAACTATGCAAACTGATTTCAAATTATGGGTGTACTCAGCTCATGATACCAATGTAGCTGGTTTATTACATTCTTTAAATGTTTACAATCATAAATTACCGCCTTATGCTGCTGCTGTGTTTATAGAACTTAGGAAGAGTAAAAACTCAAATAATACTTATGTTGTTACTGTAAGTCAATTCAATATTTAACATTTCAAGTACCAAATTTAAATTAATTAATGGTTTTCACTCTAAAGGTATCATATAGAAACACTTCTACTCACGATCCTTATTTGCTTCATGTTCCTGGTTGTGATTCAATAGCATGCGACCTAGACCAGTTTATTGATGTTGTGAATCCAATTTTACTTACAGACTGGTATAAAGAATGCCATACGCTTGAGGAAAGTAATGTTTTGGCATATATTGGTAAGTTGTAATCTAGTTTTGTTTTTTTCGTATAATATAAAAACGTATTACCTAATTACAAAATATTTTTAAACTAATAAAAAAAAAGGTATTTGTTTATTTTTTATTTTACAATATATATTTTAACTGTGTTAGCTCAATTATTTTACTAAACCTCCCATGATTGCAGTAATCAGCTG